AGGGAAGGGTGTTCCGTTTTAATAAATTGATTTTTACTAAGATTTCTTTTTTTTTCAAAGTGTACCTTTAACGCGGATTTTAAAACAACGACATCACATGGACTCTGCACCCATGGTTCTCCATCTACCTGGACTGGAATATCCGAATGAAGATGTATTTTTATATGACCACCCTGTAAATTTATTAATTTTGTTTTGAATTAATCAATTTTTTATTATTTACTTGTGCAATTCTCATCGCCGATCTCATTCCAGACTGAATCTGCCCTAAATGAACAACACCAGTAACTCCAACGACCTCCAACATTCCGTCCCAATGATTGGGCTTTGAGAATTGGTCTTCTTTTTCTGGACCCCAAGGATTGGCACCAGAACCCCAACTAAAAACAAGTAAATAAAGTAAAAGTTGATTTAAACTTTTTTATAGGTACCTTAAAATGTTTAAAATGATAATTCCTTCAACTTGCGGTAACTCCACCAATTTTCCATCGACTTCCAAACGAACCTCTTTGTGTAAATCCTTGCAAATTTTCGGCCCAACCATTTTTCTTAGCCCCATTTTAACGTAGACGCTTTTATTGTGAATGCGGCTGTTGAACTTATTGGGGTTCTCTTCGCGCGCGTTGTGAAAATCGAGACACAGATCGGCGTCAATTCCGATTCCGAAATAGTTATTCATAACAAAAATTTGTGAGTTATCTTCGCCAGCAGCTGAACTTGCAACGACTAAAGTAAGAAACAAGAAAAATAACGATAATATTAATTAATTAATTAGTAATCAATGCTAAAATGGAAAATGAGGATTTTTTATTTATAATTTTTTAAGGTTAGGTTTTATTTAGATGGAAAAGTAACCTACTTTTTTAGAAAGCTCAAAATAATTTTGCTTCATAAATTTTTAAGTGTTTCTCTTTTAGTTTTGATTTAAATCAATGTTAGATTGAGAAAATGTTGTTTTGCCGTTTTACACAGAAACGATACAAAAATATATTAATACACAAAAAAGGTTGAAACTAATTAACGAAAAGACGAAATTAATAATTGATGATTAACGAATGATTTAAAGTAAATTGAAATCAATTTCTTACCTTACCTTTTTTAATAAACAAATCAGTAAAGTTTAGTTGAGAGCTAAAAAAATTGTTAAATTTAAATTTATAACAAATTAATAAAATAATGAAAGAAAGAGAGACAGAGAAAGATGTAAAAACATTTAAAAAGTGGCTACATACACAGCTTTCAGAAAAAGTAGACTGCTTATAAATAAAAAAAGACCAACAAAAAAACGTAACTAAAAATTTAAAAAAATGAAGAAAAATAAATCAAATTAAAAAAAAGAAAAACGAAAAGCTTAACTTTTTACTTCGACAAAAATCTTGTCCTTATCATTTTTTCTTTTATCTATAGTAAAAGTTACAGCAAAACAACATCCAATTAAACACATATGATTGACCTGTTTTTCTAATTTGCTCATTGGTCACTTTCAATTTGGACAGTTTTTGCCTCTTCTTACCGGTCGAGTTCACTTGCTTGACGTTGTCGTCCTGTTTGTCTTCTGGATGAAAGACGACCGTCCACCGGTCCAAACGGATCTCCTCCGCATCGATCACGTCCCGCAACAAATTGAGGGGGTCTTCGCCGCCCGTGTAACCGGAACCCCATCGTAAAACACGTGCCAAATCGTTACCTAATAATTTAGTAAATTAGAAACAACATTTTAAAAGGTTATGAAAGCTTAAATTAGACTATATTTTGAATTAATGATTTTAGAACTTATTTATGTTTTAACCCTTTGTGTCCCAAGAAGTCAAAAACGTTGAAATTTTGTGACAGAATGAAATAGAATTAAAACGCTATCAAAATACACTCAGTAAAGTTTCGCCTTAGGAATCAATTTTAGCAAAATATGCAATCCCCCTATTTTCGCATATTTTTGACACAATCTAAGTGTCAAAAAAGAAACTTTATTGAAATTAAGAAATGAGACTTATTCTAAATTAAAGCTCAAAGCTTTCTCTTTAAAATGATGTATACTAATTGTTGGGTTGGATTGGAAAAATATTTAAAAAAAAAGAGTTGAAATAAAGCTTACATTTTCGTATAACCTAAAAGTGTCAAAAAAGATGCTAATTTAAAAATTCCTGGAAGCCGTATTTATTGAAATTAAGGAATGAAACTTATTTTAAATTAAAGCTCAAAGCTTTCTCTTTAAAATGATGTATAATAATTGATGGCTTGGATTGGAAAAATATTATGAAAAAAAAATGCTGAAACAACACTTACATTTAAAAAAGTCAAAAAAGAAGCCGTGTTTATTGAAAGTAAGGAAAGAGACTTAGTTTAAATTAAAGCTCAATACTTTCTTTTTAAAATGATCTGTAATAATCACACCTAATAACCATTTATCGAAGAGATACCTTTTTGAACAACAAAATTCAAGAACACCACTTTTCACTAAACTTCTAACCTCACATCTGGATGAATAAGTTTAAATATACCTAAAAACCCTAAAGTGCGGATTGCGTCGTTTTTTATACAGATTTTTTCTTGTATAGTAGAAAGTACCGACAGCTCTAAATGCGCCGAATAGATGACTGCAGTTTAAAATGAGTGTTTAAAACTACCGGTACTTTAAAGTACCGTCGGGACACAATGGGTTAAAATATGTTGTTATAACCGTGCAGCACGGTTAAACTTATCCCAATGGACCACCTTTGATCTGTTGATCCTGCCAGATTATTTAATCAAAAAAACTCATAAACACCGGTTTTAGTTATTTTTTGACAACTATTTAACATTTTTTTAAGTACTAACTTCACAGTTATTTTTTAACAACAATTTTACTCTATAGATGACGCTATTAGCCATGTGATTTTAAAACTACATCACAAACGAGTTTTGATGTTTATTTACATCTAAACTTGTTTGAAGACCCAAATCTTCTATAAATTTCTTTTGCTGCATCTGTTCAGTGATTTGATTAAAATATCTGCCATCGTTTCATCGATACGCATGTAGTGAAACAAATATAAAATGATATTTCACATTGATATGTTTGGTTCGTTTGTGATGTACTGGTAATGGTTGTCATTGTATATTGTTATACATTTTATTTCACCAACCAAATCATTGTCTTAGGTATGTACTGGATGGTTCAAATTCGATGTCCGAATAGGCTATCTCGGAAACTATGAGTTAGAAAAAAAGAGTTTTACGATATTTTCAATTTTGGCCTATAGGAGAAAAACAAAAGAGGATAGCGCTTTGAGGTTTTCGACATTGGAATTTATTTAAAAAAAGAAATCGAGACATGTCAGCTACTTTTTTTCTAACTTTTATAGTTTCCGAGAGAGCCTAAAAGGACATCGAATTTGAACCACCCTGCTTCTACCTGCTTCTTTAGCTATTTCGCACATTGCCATGTATTCAGCTTCTGTGTTGCAATCAACATTTTGCTTTCTCGACTAATGATGAACGGTTCATCCGCTCTGAAAGTTCGTTTCTTCGCCGATATTGATCCATCTCTCCGTTATCACTTCGTAAAACCTTAATTCTTGAATCTGTTTGGTTATCCACCAATGCTTTAAAATCTTTGAAACGATCTATCACCTCGTATTTCTAATCATCTTCGAAAATCAGCAAATACTTTGAACCCCCCATGATGTCGTTTCCATAGGTCCACAAATATCCGAATGAAGTCGAAATTGCTCTTGTGCCCATGTGTTTGAATGGCAATCTTGTTTGTTTACCTTCGCAACAAACTGTACATCGATTCGTTACATTTGTTTTCGTGGTAATTTGCATTCCTTTTACATTTTTTATCATTTTATAAAGCTCATTGTGATCGACGTGAGCTAGTCTACGATGCTACATTTCGCTACTACCTTTACTAACTATCTAGTTGCTATTACCATTTTTAATCAACTGGCTTACAGAAAGTAAATTTGTTGTTGGTTCAGGCACGTTTTACATCTTTAATAGTTGTATCATAAACGCTATCTCCTACTGTAGTCATGACTTTTATATTTCCTATACATTTTACAAAATGTCGTTGGTTATTAGCTGCTACTCTATCCTGTAGACTGCCACCTGTTGAGATATCTTCTAACCAGTCTTTTCGTACTGTTAGTTGAACACTGGCCCCTGAATCTATATACCATGCAGTCGCGGTTTTTGAACATTCCATTTACAAACATAGCACTGAAAGCATTTGATTCTTTTACCATTTTCTTTGTTCGGATACTTGTTTTTATAATGCCCCATTTGCTTGCATTCGAAACATTTTATATCGTCTAAGTCTTTTCTTTTATTTAATCCTGGATTTCTTTTTCCTGTAGCATTAAATTGATTCTTTGTAACACCAGCAAAAGCTGTACCTGTTTCACTTGCTGTTGGTTCCATGTCCAATAGCTTTGTTTTTATTAAATCTCCTATTACCACTATACCAGAATGTTTAATCGCCATGATCACTCCTCATCAATCTTAAAACCAGTACTCATCAACTTCCGAGCTGTATCTACAATCTGATTTACGTATATGACTCCATTGTATGAAATACAAATTTCTAGACGCGTATTTATCAAATTTCGAAGTAGACTGATTTTCCTTGAGAAACATGTGTCGTTAAATAAAGCTTTTAGTTGGTCCCTTACGTCTTTAATATGTACAGGGTGGGCAAATTTGGGTGTTATTATAGGCTATCTCAGAAACTATAAGAGATACGAAAAAAGTAGGTGCCATGTCCCGGTCTCCTTTTTCGAGACTAACCCAATCCCGCAAACACCAAACCTCTATCTTCTTTTGTTTTTAAGTTATAGCCAAAAAGTCAAATTTTGCTGATTTCAAAAAATGCTCATATTTCGTTTATTTTTGAAATTAGAGAAATGGAGTTGATACGTTCTTAAGACACTTTTTTAAGTAGAATATACTGCCGTTGATAAATTTTAAAAATATTTGATGATTTTTGAGATACAACACAAAGTTGTATTTTTTTAAATACAAACTATACTTGATTATGATGTTAATGAAAAGAGCATATTTTTAGCTTTCCAATGATGTATCGCATGTATGGTGCATTTGCGAAAATAAGCGTTAATTTTCAATTCCAAAATAGTAAGCGCTAAAGTTCAAAATTTTGATTATAGTAGGCGGGTTCGAACAGTAATTAATTACTACCTAATTGCTATATGGTTTTTGCAAGAATATGGCAGAAAGTTGTCTTGTACCATAACAAAAATAGGAAAAAGTAAATACTTTTTGTGAGAAATATTAAAAATACTTAATTTATTTCAAAAAGTAAACATGTTTCGAAACAAATGTTTCATCTTCAGTTAAATATTTTCTTTTTCCTAAAACAGGTACTGAAGATAAAACATTTGTTTCGAAACATGTTTACTTTTCGAAATAAATTAAGTATTTTTAATATTTCTCACAAAAAGTATTTACTTTTTTATATTTTTATTATGGTACAAGACAACTTTCTGCCATATTCTTGCAAAAACCATATAGCAATTAGGTAGTAATTAATTACTGTTCGAACCCGCCTACTATAATCAAAATTTTGAACTTTAGCGCTTACTATTTTGGAATTGAAAATTAACGCTTATTTTCTGCAAATGCACCATACATGCGATACATCATTGGAAAGCTAAAAATATGCTCTTTTCATTAACATCATAATCAAGTATAGTTTGTATTTAAAAAAATACAACTTTGTGTTGTATCTCAAAAATCATCAAATATTTTTAAAATTTTTCAACGGCAGTATATTCTACTTAAAAAAGTGTCTTAAGAACGTATCAACCCCATTTCTCTAATTTCAAAAATAAACGAAATATGAGCATTTTTTGAAATCACGAAAATTTGACTTTTTGGCTATAACTTAAAAACAAAAGAAGATAGAGGTTTGGTGTTTGCGGGATTGGG